AGGGGCCTGGTGGGTAGCATGCCTAATAACTAGAATTCATAGTGGATTGAATTAAAGACATCAGGGCAGGCTGAAGAGTAATGCACTTAGATTTAAGTCCAGGGTCTGCCTCCACGACAAGCCACTGAATCTCTCTGAGCCTCGATTTCCTTCCCTACAAAACGGACTTAACAATGCCTACCATAAGGATAACTGGAAGGAGTCCATGAGATAATATGTGAAGGAGTCAGTGAGATAACATGAGATTAGCTCCTCACAGTGCTCTATATGGTACCAGGTACATGGTAAACTCCCAGCAAGTGGAAGACATTGTCCATAGTAGCCATTAGCAGTCATCTGGTCAACCCCTGTGAAAAGAGGGGCACAAATTGAGGAGAGGCTTCCTTGCGTTCACCACACCACTTACTAGACAAGCTGAAACTAGAAACCATGGAACTTCTAGACCCCTGCCCTTTCTCTCGCTTCAGCTGCCCTGTGCACAAAATTGTTCATTCAACATTCATTCTACTAACACATCCAGATTTCTCCAAGAAATGACTTTATTTGTAGATTTGCATATTTGCAAACTCTTTTTGTATACTGTATGCCCAGGCTCCTAAAATCCTAGCCAGTTGTTCAGTCCCAGGATAGTAAATTGGGAAACTCTTTGAGAGCGATGCAACAGTCTTAATCCTGCACTGGACCAAGTTCATCAGGGTGTAGGGTTTGCTGGGGTCTTGCTTTTTTTCTGAGATCATCTGGGGATTTTTCCATCCCTTAGTGTGACCTTGAGTGATCTCCACCCCTCAGCCTACTGGTCTTGCCTCTTGGCCCCAGTCAAATGGAAAACGTAAAAGTTTCTGTGAACTCCCTTCTCCCAGAAGCTCTAGGATTGGGTACAAGGTCTGGATTGAGGACTGATGTCTGTGACTCAGGTGGCCCATGCTGGCATCTGCAGTACTGTACCAATTACAGGCCACAGGTGACAATGTTTCTGGAAGCACAGAGCTGAGGCCAACCATGAGACTGGGTGTCAAGCAGGAGCTTTAGGAACCCAGGCTCCCTGCAGAGCCCTCACCTGACCTCTTCATTTGTAAATGGTGAGAACCAATGTGGTGAGGACCCTGCTCTAAGTCTTTTCCCAATGCCATCCCATTTAAGTCCCTGACAAATCTATTAAGAAGGAACTATTATTACTATTACTATTATTTTCATTGTACCGTTGAGCAACTCAAGGCACAGAAATGTTAAGTTGACCTAGTTAGTAATCTGCTATGGTGTTTGTTTGTTTGCTGTAGAGAAAGAAGGGGTCTTGCCATGTTGCCCTGGCTTGCCTTGAACTCCTGGGCTCAAATGATCTTCCTACCTCAGCCTTCCAAGTAGCTGGGACTACAGGTGCACACCACCATGCCCGGCTGCCATATTACTATTAAGTGGCAGAGTCACACTGTAAACTCAACTAGCATGACCTCAGGCTCATTCATTCGTTTGTTCATCAGGTAAATGTGTCTTGAATGTCTATCACATACCAGGCACTGTTATAGGCACTCCAGAGACACCAGTGAACAAAAACAATGATTCTTGCTCTTTCTTGCTTAAATTCTAGCAGAATAGAGACAACATATAATCATTACAAATAAATAAATTATTTAGTTTGCTTGTGAACGTTAAATGCTATGGAAAAAGGGAAGATAGAGCAAGGTAAAGGAGATGAGAAGTACTGGGGCGTCGAAGCATGCAATTTTACATAGTGTGATCATGACTGGCTTCACAGAGAAAGCAGATTTGAGCAAAGACTCAGAAGTAAAGAAAGAAAGCTGGGCGCAGTGGCTCACGCCTGTAATCCCAGCACTTTGGAAGGCCGAGTCAGGCAGATCATGAGGTCAGGAGATCGAGACCATCCTGGCTAACACAGTGAAACCCTATCTCTACTAAAAATACAAAAAATTAGCCTGGCGTGGTGGCGGGTGCCTGTAGTCCCAGCTACTTGGGAGGCTGAGGCAGGAGAATGGCGTGAACTCGGGAGGTGGAGCTTGCAGTGAGCCAAGATTGGCCACTGCATTCCAGCCTGGGCAACAGAGTGAGACTCTGTCTCAGAAGAAAAATAAAAGAAGAAGAAGTAAAGAAAGAAGGGAGTGACTTGCACGGTTATCTGGGGAAGGAGAATCACAGGCTACAGAAACATAGACAAGATAATTTCAAGTTTTTGTTTGTTTGTTTGTTTGTTTTTTGAGATGGCGTCTGGCTCAGTCGCCCAGGCTGGAGTGCAGTGGTGCTATCTTAGCTCACTGCAACCTCCGCCTCCTGGGTTCAAGCGATTCTCCTGCCTCAGCCTCCTAGTAGCTGGGATTACAGGCACCCACCACCATGCCCGGCTAATTTTTTTGAATTTTTAGTAGAGACGGGGTTTTATCATGTTGGCCAGGCTGGTCTCAAACCCCTGACCTCAAATGATTCACCTGCCTCTGCCTCCCAAAGTGCTGAGATTACAGGTGTGAACCACCATGCCCGGCCACTTCGAGACGTAAGAATTAACAAGGGGTCAGAGAGAATAAAAGTAGGGGAGAAAGGGACCTCTTGGAATGATAGACCTGCATGGCATGCTCCTCACAGAGGCTGAGAACTGAAGGCCACATGCAGGATGAGGGGTAGGGGGTATCAGAAAGATGCTGTGGTTTTCAGGCCCCTCGATATCCTGGCCATCCTTGGGACAGGAAGGAGGTTGCTATGCCAGCTCTGAAACCTCAGTCCCAAAGAAATCTGAGAGGCCTGAGGGAGATTGCGGGATAGGCAGCTTCGGGTGAATGTATCCCAAGCGTGAAGGTCCTAGATACAGAAACCCTGAGGTTCAGGGCCTAGAGCAAAGAAGTTAGAGGTCACAGTGCCCTTAAGCAAAATGAAAGCAAAGAAACAGATGACTGGCTGATGCTAGAGCTGGCGAACTCTGAGATCTGATATTCCAACTGTCCAGTGGCTAGAACCTACACTGTCCATGTGAGAGCCTACACTGGAATACAGCCTCCGACTCTCCATACAAGGCTCTATTTTGGACCTTGGTTAGCCTTGGTTGGCTTGGGTACCCCTCTCCTGTGGTAGCACAGCATGCAGCTCCACTTGCCCTGCCCAGTGCGGGCTTTGCTTTAAAAATTCTCATCTCAGGATGAATTTCTTTACTGGGTTACTCCAGTGTGAGTAGTTCTTTGTCAAACACCTCCTCTGTCCCTGCCTTCAGTTGGGGGCCATCTTTTTTGCGGGGAGGTACAGGGTCTTGCTCTGTCATCCAGGCTACAGTTCAGTGGTGTGATCAGAGCTCACTGGAGCCTCAAACTCCTGGGCTCAAGCAATCGTCCCACCCCGGCCTCCCAAGTAGCTAGGGGTACATGTGCTCCCCACCACTCCTGGCTAATTTTTTAAATTTTTATTTTATTTATTTATTTTGTAGAGATGGGGTCTTACTATGTTGCCCAGGCTGGTCTCAAACTCCTGGCTTCAAGTGATTCTCACCTTGACCTCCCAAAGCATATGGGGATTACAGGCGTGAGCCGCTGGCCTTGGGAGTCATCTTAATGCTCGACTCCATCTACCCCGAAACACAGCCCCTTCTGTGAAAGCACTGGCAAGTAAGGAAGATTTTCAGAAAGTCTCAGAGGGACAGCAGAGACAGTGACAGTCAAACACTTCACAATAACTTTTTTTAAAATGCCTTTTACAGAGGTCCTCTCCCAGCTCTGGTCCCTTCTTCGCTGCCCCCAAACTTCAATGACCTCTCTCCTCTCCCCTTCTGGGGGTCTCATTCTCACTCACACTACCCTGCTCAGTCACAAAAGATTCTCCTTGGCAGCTTAGACTTCTTTTCCTTTCATTTTGCACAGAAATCCCTTGTATTCATATAAATATTTATCAATCTTATTTTACCTAGGCTCTCTTTTCTTTTTGAGACAGGATTTTGCTCTGACCCAGATTGGAGTGCAGTGGTGCAAAAAGGCTTACTGCAGCCTCCCCAACCTCCTGGGCTCAAGTAATCCTCCTGCCTCAGCCTCCCAAGTAGCTGGGACTACAGGTGCATGGCACCACACCCAAATAATTTTTTTTTTTTTTTGAGACGCAGTTTCCCTTGTGTTGCCCAGGCTGGAGTGCAATGGCGTGATTTGGGCTCACTGCAACCTCTGCCTTCCAGGTTCAAGTGATTCTCCTGCCTCAGCCTCCCAAGT